CGCCAAGGGAAAGCGAACAACAAACTCGGAAATGCATAATCCAGAACGCTAACAAATGGGCCACGCCCTGCACCGTTACAAGCATAACTTGGTAGCCGTCAATGAGAAGACAGAAAAGTAAAGACTTGCAAGGACTAAAAAAAATGCGGCATATTTAAAGCCACGTCTGCTGGTGAACAATGAAGGATTTCCTTTGAAAAAATCAATATTACAAACATACATGAATTTTGTAATAAATGAAAAATATGTATGGAAGGATATATATATATATATACACACAAAGTAACACGGATTCTATGTTCCTATTTTTACTTATGGTGAAAGATGACCTTCTGAAGCTTGCAACTTTCTAACCTTTGATCCTAATGAGTTTCGTCCGTTTTCTTAATTTTTTTTTCAGTTTTGTATAAATTTTCTTAATACTTCTCATCGTAGAGAACTAGAGTTTTCTTTAGTTTTCGGTCTGTTATTTTCATTTATATGTACAATCGACTTATACCAATTTTAGGAGGAAGAATTTATTGTATTCAAATGTTCGATTTATTTTTCATCTGGAAGACAATAATACATGCCCACAATTTCAAGACTAAATGTGAATACATAATATAATTAATCCTGTGCACAAAGAAAGAAGTAATATCTTTGTACAGATGATTCTAGTTATTAATCCTGGTCCCTGCTTATCACGTAAATTAGTTTCATAATTACTATTGTTTTGTCAGTTTCAAAGAAAGTTCTAGTTATGTTGAACAATACGTTTTAACGAGTCAGTCAGTATTTCCTGTGTATGTAAGTTACATTCAGATAACGCACTTCTCCACGTTGTCCTGCTTTATAGCTTTGACACGTACATATGTACTGGTATGTAGTTCACGGCCACAGATGCTAACGTAGAAATTCCAGCAATCAATGCGAGTACCTTTGCAAATCAAATCGAACTACGTATTGGACAGCAACTCAATCTGGAATGGGGGGGGGGAGATATGGAATTTTCTAGTACGTAGATGCAGTTAACTGTTCTTCATTTTTCTGGAGTAAATTTCTTAGCGGGATTTGAGAGGTTCAGAAAAGCATAAAATTCTCACATAACTTATTAAATTAGTGATTCATGTCTTATATATCTTCAGTATATTTACTTCATAATTCTAGATCCATGTTAATTTTTAGATACTCTTGTAATAATTGGAGAATAACAATTATACAAATAAACGCATACCATGCGTGACTTCTATTATTCTAAATTTCAATTCATAACATTCTTCAACTGTAAAAATTATATATTTATATATAATATTAGGCTAACTAAGATATATTGATTATATCTGTGACAACTTTTACTGTGTAATGAATACCAATAAAAATGAGGTCACTCTTCCTTTAGTGACTATGACACCAGGGGTCGTGTTCCTTTCATAACGAAATAAATGTTTAACACAAATTTTCAACAGTGCTTGTTTATCAATGAAAAAATCTAATATAGTATAGATGGAGGTTACTCTGGGAATAAAGATATTGGAAATAACATTTTAATTGTTTAATTGATAAACGTTTTTTCGAACACAACTATAATAAAAAGCTAAAAAAGAAATTTAACGAATACAGTGCTCAAAATGTTAACTAAGATGCTGCTGCCAGCATTCAAGATGTGGGAAGTATCTCGTTTACAAGCAACCATTTATCAGTCACCCAAGAAAAGCTGTTAAAAATTGCAACTGCCGTTAAAGTTCCAGAGTGCACAGACACAACGCTAAAAACACTGTTTAACGACATCTGGCTTCTTTCCTAATATCAGCATGAAAATAAAATGAAAAACTATTTTGCTGCCAAGCAGAACACTTCCAACTTTTAAACATTTGAAAACATTTATTACGTGTGGGAATTTTATATTGAAGAGGTTGGCAGGGAATTACACACCATTATACTTGAACTGTAATTGCCGGGTAACATAGGGGATTATATTATTTGATTTTTACTTTCACAAGCTGGGAATTACACACCATTGTACTTGACCTATAAATGCTAAATAGCAGGGTAAAATAGGGATATACTATTTGAGTACTACTTATATAAGCATGGAATATCGACTCATGAAATCATTATTTCGACAGACGATTGAGTACATTATATTGAATTGATTTTGAACAAGCAAATTAGTAAATTATGCGACAGGCAAAATCGATATGAAGTTGGGGTGGAACAGAATGTATTAGAATTACAGTTTGATAATGTTTGGTGTTTCACAGATAGTGTTATGCCACTGAAAATTGACCACTTTTGGGAATAGTGGCTAAAAACCTTTCCAGAAGTAAAATATTCATGTATTCAGATAATAAGTATGTGTTTAGATCAAAGATTAGAATTTCCAAGACGAGGATATCCCTTGTTCTTAATGGAATTGGAAAACAAAAGAATGTGGATGAACTTAAGACACCAAGACCATTCAGAAAGAGACTTGCAACGAGTCCTACCCCAGCAGTTATAAGCAAAGTACTGCGGCTTGCAATAGGTGAGAATTCACGAATATAAAGTTCAGTGGCAAAATCCGTGCTAGTGCTCCAGACAACAATATTCAACATAATCAATAAATATCTTCATTTGGAAAAATGGCACAAGTCACACGTACACAAGTTGCTATCACAACATACTTATTCAACTGTTGCATACGTCAAACAGCTGAAAAATGAAATGAGTGTTTATGCTATTCCACACAAAGAAATACCACAGAAGTCGCCGGCAGCAGCGGCAGTGAATTTTTGCACAATCGGTCTATTGAAACGGGTGGTAGGAAACTGTAGTCCTCGTACACTATATCGCTTATGGAAAGCATGCAGGGAGGAGGTGTATGCTTTAGATATGACAGACTTACAACAGAGATTTATGCAATGGAAATTAGGTTGTAGGGCCATTGTCAAGATGCGCAGTCATGAGAGAGAGTATGACCGAACGTGGCGACATGGACTATAACGATTTATTTGTTTGAAGTTAAGCACAAAGCTACATAATGAGCTATCTGTGCTCTGCCCACCACGGGTATCGAAACCCGGTTTCTAGCCCTGCAAGTCCACAGACATACTGCTGTGTTACTGGAGGGCGACTATACGAATTGGCAAAGCTTCAAAATTGTAGTAATATAGCGAACACAACCTATACAATAACATTCCATAAGAAAATGCCAACCTTTTTTTTAGCCGCGGCATAGCGGCCCATAGAATGGCTCTGAATTTTTTCGTTTTTTAACTACAAAATTTTAGCTCATAGCTTAGCCATCTCTTGACTGATTTAAAATCCAGTTACAGTTTTCGACTCAGGGGGTCAAACCCTTTAGATGGATATATTTGACCATGTCCAAGGTCTCATAGATTAATTCATTCTACTCCTGCCTAAAAGAGGTTAGGCTCGTAGAGATCCTGATGAGTAATAAAATCGAATCCGGTATAGTCGCGCCCCACGCCTGGTATTGCTGGTGTACAAAAATATCTAATATTTAAAGTTAAGTTTGTGTCTGTTTGTTGGAGCCTTTCAGATCCTATAATAGTAGGCTTATAAAGATATGGAATCAGCGTACCCAGGTTTAATGTCTGTGACGTCACATTATTAGCGTCAATGAAAACTTTGTAATCTAATTTTTCCACAGAAAGTGGGGGTTGAACCCTCGGGGTGTATGACCCCAATGTAATATCGGAAAAACTACCAAATCAGCACAACGTGACACAGTAATACAGGCTGACCTGAGGAAGGTTTGACCCCATCTAATCTATATAAATAATAGTCAATACGTGTGGGTGCGTATCTGTTCCTTATACGCTTCCATATTTCTTGATTAATCAGCACCAAACTTGACATTTATACAGGATGACATGAGGAAGGAAAAAAGTCTCATAGAGTAATTTACTCTAATCCTGAATAAAATAATTTCAAGTGCCGCGGCTATTGATAATTCTCTCTTGTTTATCTTTAGAAAGAAAGCACGTTAAATAAGTTTTAATCGCAAAGCTGAACTCAGCGATAAACAGAAATTAAAACCGGCAAATGTAAAAAATCTTTATATAAAATCATTATTATTATTTCATTCTCTTAAAAAAAGAACGTTCTAACTTCTTTTAGCACACAACTCTATAGATATTTACAGATCGTTCAGTAATGTTGTAAACGTCGGCAATCCATTGTCATGAATTCCCTATTTAAGTGTCAATTCATTAACAATTATGTAATCGCTTGTACCTTACTTTATTAATTTATTAAAATTTGATATCTAATCTATTGAGAATGTGTGAGTATCGAATCATTCTACGAAAAGCATATGTCAAAACGTTGATAACAGCGAGTTTTGTATAAAGTTAGAATTACCTTTTCCATATATAAAAAAAAGTGTTTTGTATATACGTGTATATCTTTTTACTTGATTGGGCTGATAACAGTGAGTTTTGTATAAAATTAGAATTATCTTTTCCATATATAAAAACAAATGTTTTGTATATACGTGTATATCTTTTTACTTGATTGGGCTGATAACAGTGAGTTTTGTATAAAGCTAGAATTACCTTTTCTATATATATATAAATGTTTTGTATATCTGTGTATATATTTTTACTTGATTGGGCAGACCAAATAATATCAGTTGACTTGGACATCCTTGAAACTTCATGCTTGAGTGTTTATATATATATATATTTCAATGACATGAACGTTCTAGCATTACCTAACTATGTACCTCAGTTGTATAGATAATTCGTTTTGAAAAGTATGGCTCCAAAATCAGTCAACCATCCAAAATCGGTCAACCATCTGTCAGACACACAAGACATCCCTGAGAGACAAGAAAAGCCTCACCAGCTGGACATCGTATGGACCAATGTTTGGGTGTTTACTCTGCTACATGCAGCAGCATTTATTGGGTTTATTCTACTCTTCACGGCGAAATGGCAAGTTTGGGTGTTTGGTGAGTAAATCTTTAATAGTATGCTAACCAACAACGATTTAGAAACATAATGAACGTGTTTACTCTGCTACATGCTGCAGCATTTATTGGGTTTATTCTACTCTTCACGGCGAAATGGCAAGTTTGGGTGTTTGGTGAGTAGATCTTTAATAGTATGTTAACCAACAACGATTTATAAACATAATGAACGTGTTTCGACAGAATATTTGCCTGTGTTATTAATGGGCTTTCATACACAATTAGTAAATCTTTAGTTACTACATTTTGTTCGCTATAAGAACTGTAACTATAAAACAAAGATTTTTGTTTTGTTTTATTAATTAGATAGAATTTTGAACTTATTTAACAATCATATTTAACGATGTTTAAAAATTACTGCGATTTTTAATAGCAATGTGTAACATATATATTTGTTAGTGTAGTAAGTTAAGGAATTATACTTGATTTTAAATATAATAAAAACATATGAGCTAAATGAACATTATATTATATTCATGAACCTTTATCGATACACAGTTTTCTTGCAATTAAAAAGAAGTTCATATCCAGTTTTCGAAATAGCTCTTCTATGGTATGATTAGCTTAGCTTTTGTAGTTACGATGGCACATATGATAGATGCATCGCAAGGATGCAAGAGTGAAAACATGGTATGGTGGCCCCCGTCTATGAATAACTAATTTACATTCTATTACTTTCGTTTTCTGGTAGTAATGCCGCAGCTCCTTTTTGCCAATGGCTGTATGATAATAGCGTTACAAAGTATAACACTTTTGTGCCTGCGTATGGAAGCAAATTGTGCATTTAATATTATAAAATTAAAAAAAGCAACGATTAAGAATGCAAAAAAAAATTATGGTAGACTTTTTGCAACGCGTATAAAACCCTGTAAGCCTAGTTTTCAGTTATACCTGACGAAGACTACCCAAGATTCTGCTGTAACATGTACATGTAGTGCAAAAAGATATTTTTGTCCAATTCTAACATTTGTATTTATCTTACAATAACATATTTATGTTAAATTTGCAAGGGGCTTTCGTGGGTTAGCGGTAAGTTTACGGACTTAGAACTCTAAAATCCGGGGTTTGATTCCCCGCGGTGGACAGATCGCAGATGGCCCATTGTGTGTAGCTCTACATTAAAAACAATAATATTTTTAAATGCATTAGGTCGTGCTTGTTACAATGTAAATAGATAAAGATGTCCCTATTTTTTATATTTATATACACTGCCTTAAGCTAACTTGTTTATTACAAACAGGAATACTTTGTTTTTAAAAATACCTTTCTTATGATGTTTATCTGCCACATTTATTATGAAGAAACAATGACATAATGAATATGTTTATTGTGAAACTGTTAGAAACTTCTGTTCGTGCAGAATTCTTGACGTAATTGTTTAAATACCAATTCATGATACACCAGTACCATATTATTCGGTTCAAGCCTAATAGTTGTATAGGTTTTACTTTAAAAACTTCTAAGATAACTTTAGTCAAAGTTTATAAAACTGACTGAATCACTAAGTTTTAATTGTTTAAATGAAGTCATCAGTTAATCATTGGTAATTTTGGCAATAGAAAGTGAAAGGAATAATAATATCTTGAGATTTTCGCGATATTAATTTACTCGTAGTCAATTTATGTTTTCTACATCGTCCTTCAGGCGTGAGAATTGTTCTTTGTTTTTATGTTTTAGGCCTGACATGCTGTTACTGTTCAGGTCTAGGAATAACAGCAGGCGCACACAGACTTTGGTGTCACAGGTCATACAAGGCTAAACTCTCTCTGAGAGTCCTCCTCATGATATTCAATTGTATAGCTTGCCAGGTAATAGTTGCTATTCTTAACCTAAAATATATCATTATATCATTTTTACAACAATGTGAGAAAGAAAAATATGATTTCTGGTTTAAGAAAAACTTTTTGAAAAAAAAAAGACTGAATAATGAGTGTTATGTTAAAGTATTAAAAATGTATTACCACTGCATCTGGGATAAGCCACTGGTTATGCTTTGTGATAGCATACCTAGTTAATCTGATTTACCGACATCCAGTGTCCAAATTATGAAACTAATTAGTTTAAAGACGTTAACCAATATATGTATTTTATGATAGTGAAAAATAGTATCATTTGTAAAAAGATTTATAACTATTTGGTATTATGTAATGAGACTATTTGTGTTCATTGTTTCAAGTTTTTCCTTATCTTCAGAAACTAGTTAAAGAGCTAAAATGCTTGTATTTGTTTAATTTTTTTTCATACAATACCTCGCCAGTTATAACGATAAGTGAGCTCATTTAGGTTTTCTCACATTCTCTACTCGTTATTCGAAGTTTAATCATTGTTAACATATTTTATTAGTCATCTCTGTGATGTCTTAGGAACTCATTATCATAATATCTTATTTGTTATTTTCACGGCACCAGCAGTTTAATTGTTAAAATGCATTTGATGTTAAATTAGGTTTCCAACCACCTTCAGATAGCATGATGTAATTCAAAATTTTGCAAAAACAGCTCTGGTAAACCGGTTTCAGTATAGTACATCCTACACCTTCAGTCACTCTCTACAGTTTGCGTTTCAAGAACAATTGTAACCGCGCTTTCTTACTTGACTCTCAGTTCGGTCGTTTTTAAATAGGTTTTCGACTATTATATGAAAGTTTTCAACTTCCGTCGCACAGTATAATCATAGTCAAATCTAGACTGTGAAAGAATCGGTCATTTGGAATTCAGTCTAACACTTGTTTCATTTTTCAAAACTTTCCAATTGTCTTTGCACTCGACTAGTTACCAGCGGTGACCATCACATTTTCCATACTGACAGACATATTTCCTTTTCATTGCCACCGTTGATATATTCTGATGAAAGATGTCTTTGAACAGCCGATCAAAGAAACGCTTCTGTTACAGAAACATCCACTATTGTGCATAGTTAATTACACATCTTTACCTTGATCATTGTTTTACAAACTACGATACAATTAAATTTCTCTACACTTTTAGGTTTCAAACAATCAATTGACTTATTATTCTATTTTACATAGGCAAATAAATCAAATATTCTACAGGTGTATGTGTATACGTGTGTAGGGGCACTAATAAAATGGCTAGACAAGGCAAAACATAACTTGACAACAGAAATTTGAGAGAATGTGGCCATATTTGATGGCGATCCTATTAAGACTGGATTTATAATATTTACTTTAAACTAAAGTAATAATGCTTTTTTAATTACTCTCGGTAAATAAATACTATTTAAAATTAGGTTGGACTTGACTTTTTTATTTTGTCCTGTGGTCAGTGAACCAAGTAATTAAAGAGGAAACAAAAAGCGTTATTTATAAAAGCTGGTTGCAGGTATGAAAGTTTAAATGCTGTAACTAAATTTTGCTAGTTATTGGCTGACTAAACTAGACTAAAGCAGAGCTAATTATTTTAGGCTTCTTATGATAAGAATTTAAACAGAAAGCTGATATTCAGTCTGGAATGTTACAGTTTCATCGATTGGAAGAAGCTTGTCTTTAAGCTAAAGTAATAATGTACGTTACAAATATAAATGTACACTAGTTCACCTATACTTCTTGCAGCCACATGAAGGCACATGGAATATGGTACAAACAAAGAAGCCACATGGAATATGGTACAAACAAAAATTCAATAATATAAATTAAAACACACTGAAAATAAAATACAAGACACTCACTTGAGTTTAGGATGATAACCAATTAAATAAACATAAAGTCATCTGTATATTTACAGTGACATAGTAACTGTTTAAAACTCTACACAATAAAATATTTTAGAGCCCAATAAGAATAAAAGAAATAACAATAATTAAGTTTAAATCAATAAACAATATACATGTGAAATATCGCCTCCCAGTGGCACAGCGGTATATCTGCGGACTTACAACGCTATAAACCGGGTTTCGATACCCGTGATGGGCAGAGCACAGATAGCCCTTGTGTAGCTCTGTGCATAATTAAAAACAAACAAACATATCAAATAAAAAAACATCCAATACATAATTCTTCAACAAAGAAATTACAGCAACTAGACTCAGAGCCTAATTCACAAAAAATCAAAGAAAAATATTATGACATCACATTTTATCATTATTATTCCAATAGAAATACAAAATGTTTTTCAGTGCTTTTCCAAGTTTTGCGTTTCTTCAGTTCAAATTTCATCTTCATCAGGTATTGTAATCTTCCTTGGTTTTCTTGTCCTTTTGGGTGAATTCAGTTTTCTTTTCTTAAAGGCTGCACCCATGTTCATATCTGTTATTTCTCAATTATATCAGCCTAGTTCACCTTTAGCATAACATTTAATAGATAAGTCTAACCACCCAACAACTATCCATTTTGTGTGTGTTATTCGGTAGATATTCAATTATCAGCTTGATGGGGCTCTGTTCTGAAGCTAATAACACACACATTTCTGGATATCTACTGATCCACTTGATATTTTTAGTTAACCTAAAATTGATTAGCTCTACTATTATAATGTTTGTAATCCTGCATCCAACTTTCTAAATGGGTTGTGAGGCAGGAACCAATTTCTGAACAGAAGGTTAATACGAGCCCTTAAAGCTTCCTATAATGTTAAGAACATTAGAGGTTTTGTGAATCAGACTTTTCATCACTATTTCTGAGGATCATGTTAATTAACTCGGGGATAATAACTACAGTGGTAAAAAGCACTAGTCCTTATTTCTAAGATAAAATCAGTGCTGAAACTCACACTAAGAACTGTGAAATGCTCCTAAAATCCCACACAACGGCAATAAAACTGGATTAGAAAATAATGCTACCTTACGGTAGGTCAAATGTCGTTAAACAGGTGAAACAACTGTGAAATGTTCCTAAAATCCCACATAACGGCAATAAAACTGGATTAGAAAATAATGCTACCTTATGGTAGGTCAAATGTCGTTAAACAGGTGAAACAACTGTGAAATGCTCCTACAATCCCACATAACGGCAATAAAACTGGATTAGAAAATAATGCTACCTTATGGTAGGTCAAATGTCGTGAAACAGGTGAAATTAAAATTTCTACTTAAATGCGATGTTAGCCACGACTACCAAAAGCAAATGAAACCACAAAACTTATAGATATATTGGTATTATGGAATTTTTTTACTTCTGATATTCACATTTTACAGAAATAGCGAAATGAAGCATGGATAGAGAAGAAATCTACAAGTTGTCGTATACGTGTTAAAACGTAATAGCTTCAAAATAAAAGAAGACACGCAGAAAAATATACGTGAGCTTGAAAAACCACAAAATTATATTCCATCTCACCAGATTCGACCAAAACCAAAGTTTAAGATTTTCACAGTAGACAGTATTAGTATGGTAATTGTTCAGCAAAATGTACAGATCATTGTGTGGTACATGAAATTAGTGTCTAGATCATTGCGTGGTACATGAAATTAGTGTCTAGATCATTGTGTGGTACATGAAATTAGTGTCTAGATCATTGTATGGTACATGAAATTAGTGTTTAGATCATTGTGTGGTACATGAAATTAGTGTCTGTTCTCATGCGACACGTTGAATCTAACAAGTTTATTATCATATGATGCAATTAAATGATGGCATGAGCAGTTCAAGAGCACAGGTTCTACGCAGCCTAAAAGTAGCATAGGGTGATTCAGCGGCGTTGAGTACAGTGTTGTCTCAGCAATTAAGTCACACTTGTGGACATGCTGGAGAACGTAGGCAGTTGATGGTGTTACAAGTATATGCGTTTTTACCAGTGACACAGAACACCATGTAATATTGAATCCATAAAACATTGGACAAGATCCTGTGAAACTGTCGTACTGGCTACGTGGGAGCGTTACTTTACTCCTCGGACCACCTTTCTAGTCCTAACACCACTGGACTTTCCACTTTATAAGACATCAAATACATTCCACTCCAGATCCATTTTCACATATCGGTCTCAATAACTGTACCAGAAAACAGTTGATGCAGTTTCACAACACCTTCTTATGAATGTGTTTTGTCAACGACTAACATACTGGCAAAAGTGCGCTACTTTTTAACTCATTTAAAAGCTATTATGTTGTAGAATGTGTGCGACAACATATAGATACCCAATAGATATGTAGATATAAATAAAGGTCATAGATATTTCAAATAATTAAAATAATATTTTAAATTATGTAGAGGAATGTTGTCACTTGTTGAGCATACAACATCAAACAAGATGTGCTTTGCAGCATCGAATACTCCCGCCTATATTATGCAGTACCTAATATGAAAGGACTTCCCGAAAATGTAATACTCAGAAAGCACGATTCACTACCCCTTAACCCCTTCTCTCTCTCTTGGTGTTTGATATCAAAACTTACCAGTTGACTCGGCGTTGTTTTGTATTGTACTGGCCCTAGGATGGTGACTGCCACGTTCAGTGTGGAATATGTCTACAGTATTTGGTCACAATTGTCAAAGCTTTCTTCTGTATGCTTTACAATTTGTGAAGGTATCCACTTCATTATTTAGAACGCTCTCGATCCCGCTGCTGTCCACTAAGTTCTTATTTTGTTTTCTGTTTATTTATTGTTCTATTGTAGTAGCATTGGATTGGGGTGACTTACGTCCTTCTATCAACTTCCTGGTCTGTGTAAGTACTGGATCTTACAATGTACTAAACTAATATATATATGTTTTAATTATAGTCAATTCGATACAATGATAGCTGAGTGAATTGGTATCCTTTTCTCTAGATGAATAAATACCTTCTTCCCTGGCTTAACCTTCCATACTCTATCATTCATTATTCAGATGTTTTCTGGTATAGAAATGCGA